AACTCAGGGCCTGGGTGCTGTCCCTGTGTTGAAGACTAGCACTGTACCATTTTGAGTCACAGTGCCACTTCTGGTTTTCTGGTGGTTAATTGGAGATAAGAGTCTCAGGGACTTTCCTGCCTGGGCTGGCTTTGAATTGTGATCCTCAGATCTCAGCCTCCTGAGTAGCTAGGATTACAGGTATGAGTCACCAGTGCTGACTTACTTACAGTTTTGACCAATGCTGGAGACAAATTCTAAATCAGTATCTACTTTCTTCACAGCAGTGTCCCAACTCATAGAAAAGAAACAGCAAACCAGGAAATATGCATAGGGAGATATATTTAGCTGTGGGCCTCAGTTAAGGGAACTGGAGATGTCTTTCTCCAAACTTCAGGGCTCAGGGTTCTTGGGGTGGGCCAGTTTCATTCCCAGCATGGAATTTCCTGTATTTCTCAATTCTTCTGCCCCAGTTACATTTTGATAGCGTGCTTGTGCCAGTAGCAACTTGTCATCCATGTGGCCAACTCACAAAGTCCAACACTCCAGACCCATCCAGCCTTCAGACCATGCAGCCCTAAGCCAACATCTGCCTGTAGTCTCACTAAAGCTCTTGAGCCCATTTTTTTTTTTTTTGGGTCCGGTTGTGGGGCCTGAACTCTGTGCCTGGGCGCTGTCCCTCAGCTCTTCAGCTCAAGGCTAGCTAGCGCTCTACCACTTGAGCCACAGCGCCATTTCTGGCTTTTTTCTTGTTGCTTATATGGTGCTAAGGAATCAAACCCAGGGCCTCATGCATGCAAGGCAAGCACTCTACCACTGAGTCACCTTCCCAGCCCAACTTCCAGCTTTTTCTGCTTATGTGGTGCTAAGGAATCAAACCCAGGGCCTCATGCATGCAAGGCAAGCATTCTACCACTGAGCCACCTTCCCAGCTTGAGCCCATTCTTCTTTTTTTTTTTTTGTCGGTCATGGGGCTTGAACTCTGGGCCTGAGCGCTGTCCCTCAGTTCTTCAGCTCAAGGCGAGCGCTCTACCACTTGAGCTACAGCGCCACTTCCGGTTTTCTGGTGGTTTATTGGAGATAAGAGTCTCACGGTCTTTCCTGCCCGGGCTGGCTTTGAACCGCGATCCTCAGATCTCAGCCTCCTGAGTAGCTAGGATTACAGGTGTGAGCCACCAGCGCCTGGCTGAGCCCATTCTTCTTAACTCAAACCACTCAAAATTTGAGAGCAGGGTGAGATAATGCATGCTTTTTTTTTTTTTAAAGTAAGAAATATGTTTTCATGCAATAAAAGTATGAAAAGAGGGCTGGGAAGGTGGCTCAGTGGTAGAGCGCTTGCCTTGCATGCGTGAGGCCCTGGGTTCAATTCCTCAGCACCACATAAGCAGAAAAAAGCCTGAAATGGCTCTGTGGCTCAAGTGGTAGAGTGCTAGCCTTGAGCTGAAGAGCTAAGGGACAGTGCCCAGGCCCAGAGTTCAGGACCTACGACCAACAAAAAAAGAAAAGAAAAGACAGGGTTTATTGTGGAAGTGGCAAAATATTCATGGATGGGTGGAGGAATGGTTACCAGGAACTTCCAAATTCAGATGCCTTGAGTCCCAAGATTCTACAGAAGAGTGGATGATGGCGCCATCTGGTGGTAGAATGTTGGCTTAGCCATTTCCTTCTCTTCCCTACTCATGTTCTACCAATTACTTGTTGTGTTCTTCTACCCATTATTTCGGGCTGGTATTCTTCCAAGGGGCATAGTAAAGTGTTTTGTTGTTGTTGTTATTGTTGTTGTTGTTGTTCTTTTTTCCGGTTGTGGGGCTTGAACTCTGGGCCTGGGAATCCCTCAGCTCTTCAGCTCAAGGTGAGTGCTCTAGCCACTTGAGTTACAGTGCCACTTCTGGTTTTCTGGTGGATTTTTATTGGAGAGAAGAGTCTCTCGGACTTTTCCTGCTGGGGCTGGCTTTGAATTGTGATCCTCAGATCTCAGCCTTCTGAGTAGCTAGGATTACAGCTGTGAGCCACTGGTGCCAGGCTGTTTTTGTTTTTGTTTTGCCAGTCGGTCCTGGGGCTTGAATTCTAGGTCTGGATGCTGAGCTTTTATGCTCAAGACTACAAGGCTGGCGCTCTGCCACTTAAGCCACAGCTCCACTTCTGGCTTTTTATGGGATTAATTGGAGATGAGAGTCTCCTGGACTTTCCTTCAGATCTCAGCCTCCTGTGTCGTTAGGATTACAGGCGTGAGCCACCTATGCTCTGCATGAGGCCTATTAAGTATTATGCTTTCATTATGTGGGCCAAGACAAACTTGCTTATAGATGCACTGACCTCTGAAAAATACCAAGTTAACATATCCTTGACTGGCCATTTCTTTTCTTTCTTTCTTTTTTGGCAGTCGTGGGGCATGAACTTTGGGCCTGGGTGCCGTCCCTCAGCTCCTCAGTTCAACACTAGTGCTCTACCACTTGAGCCACAGTGCCAGTTCTGGCTTTTTCTGAGTAGTTTTATTGGAGATAAGTCTCATGGACTTTTCTGCCAGGGCTGGCTTTGAACCGTGACCCTCACATCTCAGATTCCTGAGTAGCTAGGATTACAGGTGCGAACCACCAGTGCCCAGCTTATAAGCATTTATTTTGAAGTAACAGTTTATAAGAAATAACACAGAGGGATGGGAAGGTGGCTCAATGGTAGAGTTTGCCTTGCATGCATGAGGCCCTGGGTTCGATTCCTCAGCACCACATAAGCAAAAAGAAAAGAAGCCGGAAGTGGCACTGTGGCTCAGGTGGTAAGAGCGCTAGCCTTGAGCTGAAGAGCTGAGGGACAGCGCCAGGCCCAGAGTTCAGGCCCCACGACTGGACCCCCAAAAAAAAAAAACAAAACAAAGAGAAATAACACAGAGATCCACATACTATCCTCCAAGGTTAACACCTTGCAGTCTTCTTTTGCAGAATGCCTATTATGTGTCAGCTGCTGCCCTGGCTGCTGGAGACACAGATATGGAAACAATTAGTGAACAGGAGCCAGGGGAGCAAATGAGATTCTCAGGGAGCAGAGGAAGGAGGGTGGCACACAGACAGCATTTGGAGAATAGGATAAAAGTTCTAAGAAAAGCTTGAAGTGGAAGGACAAATAGATGGTGATATCATGGAGGCTAAGGTGTGGGGAAGGATGGATTCACAGGTGAGCAGTCAGGAAACTCAGGGCTGCAGTGTGGTAAAAGGTGAGTTGGGTGAGGAAGGAGAGGTGGACAGTCGCCAGTCTCCTTGATTAGAGAGGGCGAGAGGGGGTGAAGGAGAATTTTTCAATGGATCTTGTCTCTAGGACCAGAGGTAAAAGGTCAGTGAGGGCTAGGATTACAGGGCCCCTTGGATAGAGCAGGAAGTGGGGAGAGTTGGAATTTCCAGCCCAGCCCATGCTGGCTGAAGGAGCTCCTGCTGGTCTTTCTTTTCTTTCTTTCTTTTTTTTTTGGTCCGGTTGTGGGGCCCGAACTCTGGGCCTGGGCACTGTCCCTCAGCTCTTCAGCTCAAGGCTAGCACTCTACCACCAGAGCCACAGCGCCACTTCCGGCTTTTTTCTTTTTGCTTATGTGGTGCTGAAGAATCGAACCCAGGGCCTCAGGCATGCAAAGCAAGTGCTCTACCACTGAGCCACCTTCCCAGCCCTGGTGCCAGTCTTTCTGAAAGGAGATACTAACTGGAAGAGATGTTGATGAAACTCTGGCTGTTGAGAGGGAAGGGATGGTATCCAGTTGCCTCAAGCAGGGAAGTCTGGAAGACATCTGATTCCCTCTGAGGAGAGTGGATTGGATTTGGACCTAAACAAGGATGGGGGAAGAGCATTCCAAGCAATAGCCAGAGGCAGGAGGGCCAGGGCCTTGGAGGGTAAGGGGTTTGGCTGGCCAGGGTTGAGGCACCTGAGGGGGAACAGGAGGGCTGAGGAGACCAGTGCAAGCAGACCAAAGTGGTTAGAGGCGCTGGTGGGTATGGTTGGGTAGGTCAGATGATGCATGAAGTTTAAATCCCAGCTCCCAGTGGCTGGCTTATTTGATGTGCCATCAAAGGTATTTCTTGCCATGTCTCAATTCCTCACCAGTGGAATGATAACTAAGTAAGCAAACGGGCCGTGGGAGGTGGACGGGATAAGATGATGTCTACCGAGAGCTTAGTCACCGAGCTCAGCCGGGTGCCTGGCTGCTGGGGAGCTCAGTAAACAGGTGTTATCTAGCACTAATGCAAAAGCCATCTGATGTGTGTTTTAAAGGAGATTAACCCGGTCACCCGGAGTGAAGAGGATTAAGCTGCAGACGGGCTGATCCAGAACCGTGTAGCTACCCAGGAAACAATGGAAGACATTCTCTGCTAGGTACCTGGCACACAGGGCACAGTTCCCGCCCTTCCAGGGCTCTCAGCCCCTGGGGGCGACAGTCAGGTAAGAGCCCAAGTGTGCGTGCGTGCGTGAGCGCGGAGGGGCGCAGAGACGCGCCTCGGTTCCTCTTCTTCCTTTCTTCCTTCCCTCGCTTTCCTTCTCCCTGACCTCCCCCTCCCTCCCTCCCCTCCCTCCCCCGCTTCTTCTGGTTCTTCCCTCCTCCCCTCCTCTCCTCCCCTCCCTCCTCCTCTTCTTCTCGTCCTTCCCTCCTCCCTCCCCCTCCCTCCCTCCCTCCTTCCTTCCTTCCTTCCTCAGGCTGTAATCCCTAAATGCTGGGGTAATCACATCCCTGAGCCACCCAGCCGGGCTCGGGGTCCGGCGGGGCGGAGCGACGCAGGGTCTCGGGCCCGCGCAGGCGCTGTCGGCCGGAAGCGAGCGAACACCGCCCGTGAGGGCAGAAAGGCGCAGGGGCACCGCGCTGACAACCAAGAGCGCTCACCTAGGCCGGGCGGGAGGGCGGAGACTAACCCGGAGTGGAGGCGGGGCGAGGAGAACGCGATGACGTCAGAGCACGTCGCCGCCGAACGGCTGGCGTCCCGGAAGCGGCGGAGGCGGAGGCGGAGGCGAAGGGGGCTCTGGGACCTGCAGATTCCGGATAGCCCTGGGAGGAGGCGCCGCGTCGGGGCGGGGCGGGGCGGGCCCGGGGAGACGCTCTGGGGTGCAGGGGTCCTTCCGGTGCCCTCTGGCCGTCCCTGCCCCTCCTCTTTCCGAGCCAGTGTCCAGGTAGGTGGGGCCGCCACGCCCCCGTCCCCCGTGGAGGCCGATCTTGGGGGTAGCCTCTCTGGGCCTCCTTAGCCGTGGAGGCCTTTGCCAGTGCTGACCCGACCCTCTCGCTCTGGCATGTCCGGGTCCTTTCACCCTGGGTCGGTCCCTGGGGCTTGGGGTGCCCGGTGACCTCTTTATCGCCTCCCTCCTTAGGTTCTTTGCCTAGGACTGGTTTACGTGGCCGTTTGCTCAGGTTCTGTTCACCTCCCCTTCCCCCCCAGTAGCCACTTAGCGCTCAGAGAAGGACTTTGAAGTCAAGAAAAGAACTTAATAAAGGTTCCCAGGACTACGTTAATAAAGGTGCTCTAAGGGAGGTGGGAATGAGACTTCGGGAAGGAAGGTGGTGGTGGCCCTCAGGGGCCCACGAAGTTGCTGGGCGCTGAAGGAACTGGAGTGGGTTAGAGGCTGAGCAGGGCAGGAGACAGTAGTAGTCCCCGAGAGATGTAGTTTCTTATTCAACAAGCAGTTACTACTAAGCACAAACGGTGTACATTAACAGTAATGAATGGAAGCCCGCCAAAGTTAAAAGACCCGAAGAAAGCGAGGAGTTGTATTTTGGAGATATGATAAGGGTCATTAGGAAGAGTGCATAAAACTTCTGAAGCACTGGGAACTCCCAGTCCAGACTGGGGAGGTTGCCAGAGATTTCTCAGAGCAAGAGAGTGAGGTTTAAGGTGACACCTGCAGGAGGAGTAGGAATGAAAGATCTGGAGAGAAATATTCTAGGACATCATTTCCCTTGAGATTGTTGGCTGCCTCCTTCCAGCAACTAAATGTGCCTGCACATTATGACTTTAAAGTCTTGATGGAAACAAGCATTGATTAGATGGGAGCCTGAAAAACAGGATTTGTGTGTGTGTGTGTGTGCGCATGGGTGCGTGCACATGTGCACACACACGTAGGTGTGTACTAGAACTTGAACTCAGAGCCTGGGTGCTGTCCCTTAGCTTTTCCACTAAAGGCTGTTGCTCTACCACTTGAACCACAGCTCCACTTCCAGCTTTTGGGTGGTTAATTGGAGATACAGTTTCAGGAACTTTCCTACTCCAGCTAGTTTTGAACTGCAGTCCTCAGATCTCAGCCTCCTGAATAACTAGGATTAGAGGTGTGTATTTGAATAATTCACTTTACCCTGTTGAACTGCAGCAGAACCCTGTGAAATGAATTTTCCAGATGTAGGAACCCTGTTCACCTCACTGTTAGTGCCACATGCAGTAATTCAAGGGGGAATGTGTAGGGGACTGGAAGTACAGTGCAAATATCAGGAATTATTATGGTTACAGGATGCAGACATCAGAGCGAGAGGGGAGTGGGCCAGAGGTGAGTCCCAGCGTGATGACTGAGGCTCTCCCAGAATCTCCACCTCCCCCTACCAAGACTGCAGCAGCCTTTGATCTTTTCAACTTGGTCCTGTCGTACAAGAGGCTGGAGATCTACTTGGAACCTCTGAAGGATGCAGGTGATGGTGTTCGATATTTGCTCAGGTACAGTCTTTCTGGAGTACTCCTCGTCTGCTGGGCCATCTAGCTCCCTGCTCCATAGTTGCTAGTCATCTAAGCAGTGGTTGTGCAGTCTGTTCTCACCCTAGCTATGGCCTGTTCTGGTGGGTCTATTTGACATCTAGATTTATCCAGGTCTGCCCTGTGTCCTAGCCCTAATCCAGGAGAGGCAAGAACTGGACACCGCCTGGTCTTTGATCAAGATTCTTCTTTGTGACAAGATAACTTCCTGTCTCTGGACTGTTAGGCTTGAACATTGGCTTTCTACAGCACATAACAGGCTTAATTTTTTCTCCTTCTTTTCCGACACTAGTATAATACTAAAGTTAGAGTACAATTTTGAGCAAAAGTCAAATGCAAAATAATTATGAGGGCTGGGAAGGTGGCTTAGTGGAGGGTATTTGCTTCACATGCATTAGCCCCTGGGTTTGATTCCTTAGTACCACGTAAACAGAAAAAAAGCCAGAAGTGGTGCTGTAGCTCAAGTGGTAGAGCACTAGCCTTGGGCTGGAGAGCTGAGCACAGCACTCAGGCAGAGATTTCAAGCCCCATGACCAACAAAAATTATGAATGAGATGGTACTATTTTCATTAGTCATTTGGGGTTATGAATCGCAGTTTTTTTTTTCTATTTTTCTGTAGCTTTCATCCTCCATAATTTTCTCTTTTCATTCAGCCTGCTTTATTTCTTAAAAAAAAATTAAAAGCCTTTGAAAATACAGATATATGGCATCCTACTCTCTAAATACATCATTTGGTGCCTCTGAATAATGAATGACCTTTTCTTTCATCATCAAATTGTGCCCAACAATTATTAATAAATAATTATTAATAAACAATTTCTTGATGTCTTTCTGTATAGCCAGTTCATAATCAGATTAGCTCAGTTTTCTCAAGATATCATGAATTGTTTTGATCAAATCAAGTTCTAATCTAGTGCCATGCAGCCTGGGTGGTTTTGTCCTTTAAGTCTATTTGAGTCTAAACTAGTTTTTTTTTTTTGGGTCCAGTCTTGGGGACTGAACTCTGGGCCTGGGCACTGTCCCTCAGCTCTTCAGCTCAAGGCTAGTGCTCTACCACTTGAGCCACAGCACCACTTCTGGCTTTTTTCTTTTTGCTTATGTGGTGCTGAGGAATCAAACCCAGGGCCTCAGGCATGCAAGGCAAGCACTCTACCACTGAGCCAGCTTCCCAGCCCTAGTTTTGTTTCTTGATAGTGGCAGGCTGAAGACTGAGAGTTCTTACTTAGATTTAAGTAAGAAGTTAGATTTAAAGGCTGGGCTACAAGTTGAAGATGAAATTTTTAGCCTGAGGTGGCTCAGGCCTTGTAATCTAGTTGCTCAACAAGCCAGCCCAGGCAGAAAAGTCCTTGTCACTTGATCTCCAATTAACTAGCTGGACTCATGGCTCAAGCACTAGCTCTGAGCAAACAACTTGAGTGAATGAATGAGCAAGCTCTGGGTTCAAACTCTAGAAGAAAAATTAAAGGCTATTATTATTATTATTATTGGCAAAGGTTGATATTGTGTTACACAATATTAAAGAGTATTGTCCTAAAGAGTAGGACAACCTAAACTTTGAGCTTATTTAGGAGGGCTTTAGGGGTCAATGAATTCCACGAAACTGCATGTAAGTCTTTGTGTTCATTCATATTTTATTTATAGGAAAAAGCTTTTAGTTTTAATTGATCCAACCCTAAAATGCTTGAGAAGACTAGTAGGCAGAATGACTGGAATTCAGTTAGCTCAAAGGGTACCACTGAGTTTGGGTTCTTGCCTCAGACTGGAAATACTGGGCCTTTTTATTTTTTCCTCCCTTCTGGAGACAGGTTGAGTTATGAAGCCTGGACTGCCTTTGAGTTTTGGGCCATTTATTATTAACTGACCAACACCCTGACTTTTTTCTTTTAGTCCTTTAATTTATGACAGTAACCCTAGAGATGAAGTAGTCAGTGTTTAGAGCCATGTTTCTTCTCTTGCCTTTGGGGCAAGGGGTAGGTAGGAGGAGGGACTCTTGTCTTATTTTATAATCCCAGCAGCACCAGCTAGCTAACAAACTTTCATTTTCCTCAGGGTATGGGAAGGGTTCCAGAGAGATGGGCTGTGCTCTCTGACACATACTTTGTCCTTTTGAGGCAAAGTACAGAAGTTAAATATATCATACCCTTCTTTTCCTCTGCTGGTTGGTAGTGCCGACAGCAGCCTCAGTCAAGTCAAGAGATTTCTATTTCATGGACTGAGAGATCAGATGGGTGGAGTGAGTCAGAACTGGGCTCTTCAAAGCCCCCTTCCTCTAGCCTGTGTTCTTGGATGCTGGCAGAAGGCGCACTGGTCCATGAAAGTGGCTGTCAGATTAGCTTGTGCTTTTGATTGTTCTTTTCTTAGTAAAGAGGATTTGACTTTGAAGAAGGACCTTAGCTAGTGCCTTGGCTATTAGATCTGAAGCCTGGAGCTGCAGTAAAAAAAATTTAAGACTCTCTTCTATGATCAGCTACTGTATTTATTTATTTATTGCCTGTCCTGGGGCTTGTGAACTCAGGGCTTGGGTACAGTCTCAGAGCTGCTTTTGCTCAAGGCTAGCACTCTACTACTTAAGCCACAGCGCCACTTGCAGCTTTTTCTATGTATGTGATACTGAGGAATCAAACCCAGGGCTTCATGCATGCTAGGCAAGCACTCTACCACATTTCCAGCCCTACTTTATTTTTTTGTGGGTCTCCCAGCACCAAATTGTGGGAAGAAATGAGGTAGAGGGGAGGGGCCTTGGAAAGAAATGATGTTCAGAGGTAGTGTGATGTTTTTTTCTCAACTAGGACTGCCTTTAGACTTAGATTTTAATTTGCTTTTACTCTGGTAGCAGTCGCCAAGTGTTCTGTGGCTCAGTTAGAGTGGTACTGGTGGAGTGTGTTGAACTTCAGGAGCAAGATAGAGGTTATTGGGTTGAAAGCCTCACATGAGCTAGTTAACCTCATTTAGTAATAAGAATTTCTCCAATGAGAATACAAGAAAATGCATTTATATTCTGCATTGCTTGCCAGCAGTATGCCTGGTCTACTATTTGTTCTTTATTGGTTTCTGTGTTAAATGAATTATTGGGTAGTGTTGATATAATCTTACCGAATTGTGAAAAAGAATAAAGGAAAATATTGAAGAAAAGTATCTGTCAGCTTCCCCTGTCAAAGAGAAGAGACGCTTACAAAGACACTAGTGAAGCAGTATTAAATGGGTTTCTTAATAGGTGTTTTATAAATTCTTTCTTCTGGCAGAAAGTTTTGTCACCCCAGGGCTAATGTGACCGGTTGGCTTCTCTCCTAGTCATCTAGCTGAGAGACAGGCCCTCTTTTCATTTTCCCTTGGTCCTCTGTGCCCAGGCCTCCTTGTCTCCAGTATGGCTTTCCTATCTGTGCTGCCTGGGCTCCCCTCCCAGCTGGAGGAGTGGCTGGTGATCCGGATCTCTGTGTTTCAGGTGGCAGACACCTGTGTGCTCCTTGCTGACCTGCCTGGGCCTCAACATCTTGTTCCTCACTTTGAATGAAGGTAAGAACGGCTTCCAAGGGGTCAGTGTTTTGTGTCTTTTTGAGAATGAAGTGGAGGAATACTGAAATGTGGCAGTGTGTGAGGGGACCTCTCTCTGAGTGAGTTTCCCTCTGCTTGGTATCAGAACAGAGGCTCCAGAGGGATGATCCAGGTTGTTTGACTTTGGACAAGTTATTTAACGCACTGTTGAGACCTAAGTGTCCTTTTGTCTAAGGGGGATATCACTAGTGCTTTCCTCACAGGGTATTTATTTGTGAGGAATGAGAATGCATACCACATAGCTTCATAGCGGCTGTTACTGTTACTGTTCTCCCCTTCTTGACTGATGGCTGATGACCGATGACCTTTTTGTTTGCTTTTCTAACTGATTCGGGGGTCCTTGGGGCCATCCCGTGGGATAAGGGTCGTAGGAAGTTGGGCTGAGGAGGGACTTCTTGCCATATGCATTCTTTTCTCTGGTTCTGCAAGTGAGTCTAGGGGGGCCGGCTGGGCAGCCACCAGCAGTGAGGAGAGGCACAAAGCCTAGAGGAAGGTGTGGACGGGTGGGTAAACATAGTGGCCCGGATGGTGATCTCTCCTGGATCTATTGATAGTATTTTCTGTGACTCAACCCTTGCTTGGGTTGGAACCGCAGCTGGTTATAGAATTAGCCCTAGGAGAAATGAGGGAAGGGTCTGGGATAGAATGCTCTAAGGGGCTAGTCTTTATGTTTTTTCTTACTTTGTGTTCTATTTTTGTGACTCCTTTGTTTCTGGTGGAGGTAGTGTTTTAATTGGTTAAAAATAAACCCAGTTTGTGCAAGATTTCATCTTTTTTTGTGTGTGTATGCTGGGCCTGAAGCCTGAACTTGGGGCCTACGCATTATCCCTTAGCTTCTTTTGCTCTACCACTTGAGCCACAAGCTCCACTTCCAGTTTTTTTTTTTTTTGTCTGTCGTGGGGCTTGAACTCTGGGCCTGGGCGCTGTCCCTCAGCTCTTCAGCTCAAGGCGAGTGCTCTACCACTTGAGCTACAGCGCCACTTTCGGTTTTCTGGTGGTTTATTGGAGATAGGAGTCTTACGTCTCTCCTGCCCGGGCTGGCTTTGAACCTCGATCCTCAGATCTCAGTCTCCTGAGTAGCTAGGATTACAGGCGTGAGCCACCAGCGCCCGGCCACTTCCAGCTTTTTGTTGATTAATTGGAGATAAGAGTCTCATAGAGCTGGATGTTGGTGGTTCATGCCTATAATCCTAGCTACTCTGGAGGCTGATATCTGAGGATCACGGTTTAAAGCCAGCTGGGGTAGGTAAGTGTGTGAGACTCTGATCTCCAATAAACCACTCAGAAAACTGGAAGTGGCTCTAGGCTCAAGTGGTAGAGTGCTAGCCTTGAGCTGAATAGCTCTGGAACTGTGCCCAGGCCCAGAATTCAAGCCCACAACCATTAAAAAAAAAAAAAAAAAAAGAGTCTTATAGATTTTGCTGCCTGGGCTAGGTTCAAACCATGATCCTCAAATCTCAGCTTCCTGAGAAGCTAGGATTACAGGCATGAGCCACTGGTGCCTGGTTCATCTTTTTCTTAATCTCTTCTTTGATCAAAATTTGCCAGCATGATAGGTTTCTTTGAATATATTTCTGAAGTATGTCAGTTTTTGTGACAGAAATTTAACACACATTTATTAGTAGCCCGCTGCTCTCTTAGCTTCCTGTTGGGATACGAAGTGATACGGGAGACATTCCCTTTTTGAATTTCATCTCAGCCTCAGTATTTCTGAGGCCTGTGTCAGAAGGCACCTAAGAGCCAAAGGAAAGGCTTCCAGTCTGCCTTAATGGCCAGGGTGCAGGCAGGAGTTACCTACTACATGCTGGCAGCATTTTTTTAATGTTTTAGAGATGAAGCTGGAACTCCCATCAGTGATCACATGGACAAAGTGCCAGCTCTTAACAGCTTCCATTAGCCAAAAGTGAACACACCCATAGTCTATAGTGTGGTGATAAAAATCTATGAGGAAAAACAAAACTGGCTTCAGGAGCCTGGTGGGTGGATGAAGTACTCTTGTCTTCCCTGTAGGGTGAACAGGAAAGACCTCCTAGGGAGGGCCCTGGTGGAGGTGAGGAGTGAGCATGTAGGTGGGCAGTTCCTGGGCCTTACTAAACTATATTACTTGCAGTGTTCTTAATTTCTTAGGTGCCTGGTACTCGGTGGGTGCCCTATTGATTTCTGTGCCTGCCTTGCTGGGCTACCTTCAGGAGGTTTGCCGGGCACAGCTGCCCGAATCTGAACTGATGCGGAGGAAGTATCACAGTGTAAGACAAGAGGACCTGCAGAAAGTTCGTCTTTCTCGACCCGAGGCCGTGGCTGAGGTGAAGAGCTTGTGAGTATCAAAGAGAGGCCTGGGAGATGGGGAGACTAGAAATGACAGCAGCTGCTGCATAGTGCATTTGCATGTGCCAGACTTCATATTGGGTAAACCACAGATGCTACTCCATTTAATCTTCTGAACAGTTCTGGGTGGTGGTTGCTATTATCCCCACTTACAGCTGGCAAGTGAGCTGGATGAGCCTCCAGGTTCAGCCAACTTCACAGCTTGCTCTTTCCCCTAGAAACACTAACATCTTCACTAAGCACTGTGCCTCCACATGTCACTACATGGGTTCAAATCGCAGCTCTTCCACTTACTTTGTAACATTGGGTAAGTTGCTTTGCTCCTCTGTGACTCAGGTCCCACGTCTGTCAACTAGGATGATAGGGCTTACTCAGAGGGTGAAGATTACTCCAGTGTTAGGTCTGCAGAATGTGTTTAGTATGTATTATGTTTAGATGTACTATGGAGAAATTCCTAAACATGACAGAGCTGATACTTTGAGGAAGCAGCTGAAGGAAGCTGAACAAAATTAATTGTTCCAACTTAGGTGGCAGCTGGACTTTTCTGTGTAGGATTTTGATATACCACAAGAGTGGCACAAGTTAGAAATAAATGTATTGCTGGGCCTGCCCAGCAATGGGGCCAGGTATCTGTTGTTGTTGCTTCTTCCTTCCTTCCCTCCTTCCTTCCCTCCTTCCTTCCTTCCTTCCTTCCTTTCTTCTTTCCTTCCTTCCTTCCTTCCTCTCTCTCTTTCTCTCTCTCTCTTTCTCTCTCTCTCTCTTTCTTTGGTCTGGTCTTGGAGCCTGAACTCTGGGCCTGGGCCCTGTCCCTCAGCTCTTCAGCTCAAGGCTAGCATTTGAGCCATAGCACCACTTCCGGCTTTTTTTTTTCCTGCTTATGTGGTGCTGAGGAATTGAACCCAGGGTCTCTTTCATGCAAGGCAAGCACTCTACCACTGAGCCACCTTCTCAGCCCTCTTTCTTTCTTTCTTTCTCTTTTTTCTTTCTTTCCTTCCTTCCTTCCTTCCTTCCTTCCTTCCTTCCTTTCTTTCTTTCTTTCCTTCCCTCCCTCCCTCCCTCCCTCCCTCTCTCCCTCCCTCCCTCCCTCCCTCACTCCCCCCCTCTCTTTCTTTCTTTCTTTCTGGCCTGGCACTGTCCCTAAGCAACTTTTGCTCAAGGCTAGCATTCTGCCACTTGAGCCATAGTGCCACTCTGGCCTTTTTTGTGATTTAATTTGAGATAAGAATCTCATAGGCTGGCTTTGAACCATGATCTTCAGATCTTAGCCTCTTGAGTAGCTACGATTACAGTCAAAGAACCGCCACTGGCTCCAGTGTTTGTTTCTTTTTTACTGTGAAATAATTTTAAACCTAGAGAAGAGGTACATAAATGACACAAACAGGCCCCATAGGTCCTTTACTCAGCTGGGACTATTGTTAACTTTTACCGCAATGGTTCCTGAGATCTCACTGCATTTCCCCCCCTTACCCCCAAACTGTTTGAAAGTAAGTTGCAAAAATAGAGGCTGGGAAGGTGGCTCAGTGGTAGAGTGCTTGGGTTCTATTCCTAGCACCACAGAAGCAGAAAAAGCTGGAAGTGGCACGGTGGCCCAAGTGGTAGAGTGTTAGCCTTGAGCTGAAGAGCTGAGGGACAGTGCCCATGCCCAGGGTTTAGGCCCTATGACCGGAGGTGGGGGGGAAAGAAAGAAAGTTGTAAATATCATGTATGTTTATCCCAAATATTTCAACCTGTATTTGTAAGAATAGGACTTCCTCTTACATATCTGTAGCACTGTAACTAGAAAGGAAATTCAATACTGCAACATTACCATGAGTCATCTACTATATGAATCATAACCATAATTTGCCAGTTGTTTTAGTAAACTTCCTATCATTTTCCCCTGATCCAGGATACAATCTAAGATCATACGTTATATTGAGGTTTTGTGTGTGTGTGTGTGTGTGTGTGTGTGTGTGTGTGTGTGTTATATGTATGTACTGGTTCTGGGGCTTAAATTCATGGCCTATACATTGTTCCTGAGATTTTTCACTCAAGGCTGGAGCTCTACCACTTGAACCATAACTTCACTTCTGCCTATTTGGTGGTTAATTGGAGAGTCTCACAGACTTTCCTGCCCTGGCTGGCTTTGAACTTCAGTCCTTAGGTCTCAGCATCCTGCGTAGCTAGGATTATAGGCGTGAGCTACACTGGTGCCCAGCCAGAAAGGAAATTTAATACAACATTAGCATGAATCATCTGCTATATGGATTATAAACATAATTTGCCAGTTCCGTTAGTAAACGTCTTCCTACCAATTTCTGTTACCCATCATATATTACATTATGTTGAGGGGTTTTGTTTTTTGTGTTTTTGTTTTTGTGGTGCTGGTTCTGGGACTTGAATTCAGGGCCTAGACATTGTCCCTGAGCTTTTTCACTCAAGGCTGGAGCTCCACTACTTGAACCACCACAGCTTCACTCCTGCCTATTTGGTGGTTAATTGGAGGTAAGAGTCTCACAGACTTTCCTGCCCTGGTGGCTTTGAACCTCGATCCTCAGATCTCAGTCTCCTGAGTAGCTAGGATTACAGGTGTAAGCCACCAGCACCAGGCTTACATTGAAGTTTTTTTTGTGTGTGTGCTGATGGGGATCAAATCCAAAGCTTTGCATGTGGGGCAAATGTTCTATTATGGAGCTGCACAGACCTCACATTCCGCTTTTCTGCTTGTCTCCTGTAACTTAGAGCCTCAGTCTTTGTGCCTCTTGATTTTGTGTACTTAAATACTACCAGCTTTTTCTTTTATAGGAGCCCCCTCAGTTTGGATAAGTTGGCTCCTCTTGGTTAGACTCAGATTATGCATCTTCGACAGGACTATGGCAAGGAATGTGGACTTTCATGTTGGTAGCCCATAATGTCAGGAAATGTTAACTCTGTCCATTTGTGTACAGCTTCCCACTGTGCATCATCCTCTCCTTTCATTGTTAGTAATCTGAAGGGAGATACTGTGAGGCGCATCAAACATACACCCACTGTTTAAAACCACTCATGGTCTTTCCTTAATCACTTTATTACTGTGATGGTTGGAGAGATGATTTTCTGATTACCATTCTGTCTATATTAGTATGAGCCCATATTATCAGTATGAACTCTTAGATTTTTATTTGATTCTGTGGGTTGTAATCTATTGCCTTCATTTGTTTTCATCTCAATTGTTTTCATCTCAAATTGTTCTAGATTTGGCTAGTGGGACCACTTTAGAGTTGCTTTTTGTGTCTCCATCATTTCCCAGTGCTTCTGTTATGGTACAACAGGATGTTTGCGTTCATCTTTTACCTCCCCTGCTTCAGCTCTGAAGCAGACATTTTTCCAAGGACCCTGGATAGATAGATAGTCTGGATCTGGGTGCCAGATGTGCTCGTGCTTCTGGGGTTTATCTCTGTTAACAGAACTCCCCAGGTGGTCGACCTTACATTTTAGGTGAGCAGACATTGATCTGCCATTTATCCTCCTGGTGCCATGTACCCACGGTGCTGTGTACCTGTGGGGTGGGTCTTCGGTTACTCACTTGACATATGAGGGAACTTCAGCAGTGGGACACTTAGGTAGCTTGGCTGACATCCATAGTTAGCAAGAACAGAAGCTCTGAACTGGTTCTCCCATAGGAGAGGATCAAGAATGGGATGGAGCAATACCTGGGCCAGCTTGGCAAGACCCTCTTACCCCCCACTCTTGAGATTCAGGCAGTGCATTCAAGAAGGTGGAATACCTATTTCTGCCTGTGGTCCCAGGCTCTGCCTCCACAGACTTTCATCCTGCCCAGTGAGTGGGCGGGGCAAAGCCTGCCCACTCATAGGAGCCCCTGTGTCTGCAGCTTGATCCAGCTGGAGGCCTTCTTGACTCGCCTGTGCTGCACCTGTGAAGCTGCCTACCGTGTGCTGCACTGGGAAAACCCTGTGGTATCGTCTCGGTGAGTGGCCCCTCCCCTTCCCCACCTCCGCTCCCCTGTTGGAATTGGCAGCTTGAAGCCCTCCCCTGCCAAGCAATGGCAGCTATCTTGAAATGGCTTGAAAGGTAGGTTCCCTCCTACCTCGGGGGAAGAGCGTCCTATGCTACGTGTATAGATCTGCAGGGGTACTGTTGAGCTCTAATTTGTTGCTATTGTTTAGATGCTTTAAAAAAAGTGTAGCAAAAGTACTTTAATAATACACAAATCACTCACCATGTAATCTACCACTTTGAATATAGCAGTTCATCTCATGTTCAGCTTTCTTCTATAGTTGGTCATAGGTATATACTTTATAGATGCATAGCTTCATAGTGTTTTGAGACTTCTCCCTCATTTTCTCCCTTCCACTGGAATGAATATGTTTGAAGCTCTACATAGGAATAATAACTATAATTAATTTATTCAGTCCTCACTTTGTGTCAGATACTGTATCTTAGTCTTCATAGTAATCCTATGAGGTAGATGCTGTTGTAATCCCCCTTTTATGGGTGAAGGAAGTTAAGTAATACTCAGAGTGCAGGATGTGTGCAAAGAGAAATAGCAGAGCTAGACTCACATTCCAGGCTGTCTGTAGACATCAGAGTCTAGTTCCTGAGTGTGATAACAGTTGATCCATTCATGTGCCCTAGCCTCAGACATCAGCATAGTCTCACCAGTCAGTTGTCAGAAACCAGTGACTTGTTGATACTTCGAAGTCCTTTCTCATCATGATTTTTATACTGGTTTGATGTATAGTTAAAAAAAAAGTTTGCATATAAAAAAGTATAAAAAAGCAGTATAAAAAAAAAAGTTTAAAGCTGGGCGCCGGTGGCTCACACCTATAATACTGGCTACTCAGGAGGCTGAGATCTGAGGATCGTGGTTCAAAGCCAGCCCGGGCAGGAAACTCTGTGAGACTCTTATCTCCAATAAACCACTAGATAACCAGAAATGACGCTGTGGCTCAAGCAGTAGAGCACTCGGGACAGTGCCCAAGCCCAGAGTTCAAGGCCCATGACTGATAAAAAAAAAAAAATTTAGCCAGGTGCTGGTGGTTCATGCCTGTAATCCTAGCTACTCAGGAGGCTGAGATATGAGGATCATGGTTCAAAGACAGTCCGGGCACGAAAGTCCATGAGTCTCTGATTAACCACCAGAAATCCAGAAGTGTCACTGTGGCTCAGTGCCCAAGCCCAGAGTTCAAGCCCCACAGCCAAAAAAAAAAAAAAAAAAAAAAAAAAATCTGTTTCTCACCTATATCCCTATGTGAGTGTGCTTAGTCTAAACCTGTTTCCTTCTGATTTTGTGAATTTCTTTTGATCTTCCAGGTTCTATGGGGCTCTTCTGGGCACAATTTGTATGCTGTATCTGCTGCCTCTCTGCTGGGTCCTTGCCCTTTTAAACAGTACACTGTTTCTGGGGAATGTGGAGTTCTTCCGAGGTAAGCCCTAGAGAGCCTGACATTTGGGGCACAGACTGGCCAGCAGCTGTTTAGGCCCTCTGCTTCATCTCTGTAGTTCTTTGCCTGTTACTGTCCTTTCCACAAGGGGGCAGCACCACACTGGGGTGCTCTGGAGGACCCTAGATCCCTGAGGATGACATCTCACCAGGGAGGCTGCCATGTGCAGTCCTCTTTCTTTCTAAAGCAGATGAATCATTGCTTCCTGAGATTGGTGGCTTCTGGGAGATGGAGCAGTGTTTTCCCAAAATTCTGCCTGTCCCCTGGGTAGCAGCCACCTGGAGTTGCTGCTACATCTCTGTGTGATTACAGTCTGCTGTCTGGCTTCTAAAGTGCTGAGACAGTCTTGTTACTTGAATGACTGTTACATTTGTTTTCCACCCTCTGCTGGGGTAATAATCACAGAAGCTGCAACTTAGGGCACACCTTCCACACTGAATCTTTAGTGGTCTGGGTTAAGTGGTGATGCCTGTGTTGCTCATGAGGCTTAGGTTGGGTGACTTGCCCAGTTAGGAAGGCAGCTCTTTCAGTAGCAGTGGGTGGGGCACTTGGTGGAAGTTGCCGCCCCCAGAGTACTACTTACTCTGTCTTGTATCTACCTCCTACCCTGTTCTCCTTGCTCTGGGTAGTGGTGTCTGAGTATAGGACATCTCTGCGGCGGCGGATGAACCCCAAGCAGCAACAACGAGTCTTTGAGAGCCCACTACTGCCAGATGTTGGGGGGAAAGGTACTCTTCTGGATAGCACGCCTGCCCCCACTCCCACGGAGGTGAGTACTCCTGGTCATCACAAGAGCTGCTGAGAGCAGATGGGGGTCCTCCTTCTAGCAGCTTGCTTATATAGTACATAGTTCCAGGACTGGCCTCTGATGTGATTCCTGCTCCTTCCTGGGCCTGATCTCTGGTGTGCTTAATAATAAGCATAATAAAAATAACTGCCCTGCACTTTATTGAGTACCTACTGTGTCAGATTCTGTTCTAAGTGCCTTATAGATATTCCTGCAAGGAAGGTAAGTTGTGTCTGAGAGTAGCAGAAGAAAAGGCTGAGCCACAGAGTGGTTGCCTAAGGCATCATTGCTAGTGAGTGGTGCCACTGGGTCTTAGTCCAGGCCCTATGGTTCAGAGCTATACTCTCAGCCACTGAGGACCAGCTGTGATCTTGTGCCCATCTTCCTGCCCTGAAGGGTTAGAGGTTGTTTTCTTTCCCATGACTCACTACTTTTTGAAATGGTGCCATTTCCTCTGGGGTAGGAACCTGAATGCTGGCTCAGGGAAGATGGCCCTCTACTGTACAGCCATCAGCCTTCTTGTATGTGACTGAGACTCTCTTTCTAGGACCTCACACCAGGCAGTGTGGAGGAAGCTGAGGAGGCTGAACCAGATGAGGAGTTCAAAGATGCAATAGAGGTGTGTGGCCCTTCCCCAGCATGCTGTATGACCTGGTGTTCCTGGAGCTGAGGGTTTTATTTTTCAATATTCACATGAGAAGCCAAAACCTATCTGAGCGAGAGCTTATAGGTTGAAATGGGGCTACTGACCCCTTGATCCCTGCTCTGTGGCCCATCTAGTCATCTGTTTTGGGTTCCTAGGGCAGGGGTGGCTTTTCAGGTGTTGTAGAACTCCACTGGGGGCTTGTAATTTCTCTCTGGTGGCAATAGTAGACTTGGTGTCGGGAGGGCAGGTTGGAGGAGGGCTTCTCTGTGCCTCTGCTACTCTGGGTTCTGCAGAGTGAATTCCTCACTGTTCTTTTCAGAGGTTGGAGAAAGTGTTTGCATGGTTAAATTTGAGGTCAGGGGAAGTTCAACAGTTGTCTTGGTTTTAGGACAGTGGTTTGAACTAGTGTTTTGCATACGTGTCTTATTTGGCTTAAAAACTTTTAAAATTGTGTTTTGAGCTGGTGTTTAAAAATGATGGGATTTTATTTAGAACTCTAGGAGTAGCCCTGAGGCCACTGTCTCCTTTAGACAAACCCTGTATTACAGTTAGTGGCCATTGCTATTTATTGTCATCTTTGCTTTTTTGTAGGGGAGGCAGTGCTGGCATTTGAACTTAGGGACTTGGCTTGCTTGGCAGGTGTTCTACTGCTTGAGCCATGCCCCCAGCCCTTTTTGATTTTGTTACTTTTTCAGATAGGATCCTATGCTTTTTTGTCATATGATCTTCCTACTTATGCCTCCCTTGTAACTGGCATTCTGCCTGCCTTTTTGCTAACTTCTTTTTTTGTCAGTTGTGGGGCTTGAACACTGGCCCTGGGCGCTGTCCCTCAGCTCAAGGTGAGCACTCTACCACTTGTGCAAACAGTGCCACTTCCGGTTTTCTGGTGGTTTATTGGAGATAAGAGTTTCATGGACTTTCCTGCCTGGGCTGGCTTTGAACTGGGCTTTGAACTGTGATCCTCAGATCTCAGCCTCCTTAGTAGCTAGATTATAGGCGTGAGCCACTGGTGCCTGGCTTTTTGCTAACTTTTTTGCCTAGGCTATCTTCAAACTGTGATCCTCCTGATCTCTACTTTCTGAATATCTGTGATTATAGATGTGAGCATTTCACCTCTTCTTGACCAGATTATTGTTTTTCTTAGAGTAGGAAATAATTTCTCTTTATGTCTCTCTCTCTTTTTTTTTTAGTTTTTCAACTTCTTTAAAAATACTTTTTATTTAGAAATAGTGTAGAGAGGGGTTACAGTTACATGAGTAAGGTAATGAGTACATTTCCTATCGAGCATTATTCCTCCTCCTCTGTTTTTTCCCTGTCTTTATGTCTCTTTATAAACTGGACATTGAGATATAAGCAGTGGGGGTCTCTGGAATTTTCACCAATCCTTCACTCTCTAATCAGCCCAGTCTCTGCTGACATTTCAATTTTGACTGCTGTAAGATTTTCTCCAAGTCTTGGTAATGATTAGAAGTATGGACCTGGGGAGGATGGAGATACAGAGCATGATTTTCAAGCAGTACCTTTCAAGGAATACCTTTTGCATCTTGATGCAGCTCACATTTATGTTTGCGAAGTAGGTTAGACAAGTGTCCCGAAGACACTGTAAAGGCTATGTTCTTTCTGTTAGAATGCCCCATGTGAAAAGCGTAGTTCACAGCTTATTTCAAGCTTCTTCAGTGCTGACTCAGTCAGGGGAGAGCATCTGTTAACCTCGCTCTGTGTGTAGGAGGTGCTCAGAACTCAGGAGTAGCTTGGAGGTCCCCCTTTTGGTCCTCCTTGCTCTGCTATCTCTGTCTCTGTTTTCTCTCTTCTCTGCACCTTGGGAGGCAGGAGACCCACTTGGTGGTTCTGGTAAGTAGGAGCACTGGTAAGTAGGGCTGGGCTGGGCTGGGGGAGGGTGGCGGATCTGGCTATGCTGATGGGGTTGGCTGTGTCCAGGTGCCTCTGCCTGAAGGCCCCTGGGCCTTGTCAAGAGGTGGGGGACTGGAAGGAGCTGTTCCCACAGGAGGATGATGAGGGTGCCCCCTGCCCAGCAGAGGATGAGCTGTCCCTGCAAGACAATGGGTTCCTGAGTAAGAACGAGGTACTGCGCAGCAAGGTGTCCCGGCTCACAGAGCGGCTCCGCAAGCGTTACCCTACCAACAACTTCGGTATGGAGTGGGTTAGGGTGGCCAGGAAGGAATGTGGAGGCTGGGGCGGAGGGGATGTTGGCTATACACAGGGTCAGAGTGTTGGAATTATGAATTCTAATTGTGACTAGAGCAAGTGTCCATGGGATCTTGGAATGTTAGCATGTGTCTAGTGGAACTACTGAAGACACTTGTGTGGGTTTCTTGTCCTTCTCCTCTTCTTGAACACTAGCTCTCAGGAAGTTGGCCTGATGGCATCTGGGAGCCACTGTGTCCAGGCCATGTGTGGCTCTGGTCCTTGCATCTTCCCTTTTCATTCTAGATTGCCTGCACCCTGCTGAATGTCCTCAGCCTCTGTGAGCTCCGCATCATTTGGGGGTTAGGATTTTTTTTTGTCAGTAGTGGGGCTTGAACTCACAGCCTGAGAGCTGTCCCTGAGCTCTTTTGCTCAATCACTTTGAGCCACAGCTCCACTTCTGGTTTTCTGGTGGTTAATTGGAGATAAGAGTCTCACAGACTTTCCTGCCCAGGCTGGCTTTGAACCATGATCCTCACATCTCAGCCTCCTGAGTAGTTAGGATTACAGACGTGAGCCACTGGCATCTGGCTGTGGTTAAGATTTTTAAAACATGAACCTTGGTGGAACCATAACAAGGCTATTGCATTCCAGAGCTTCTCTCTAGACTCCTAGTGGGGAGGGCCCTACTTTGTCTTGGGGGCCAAATGATGGTTGCCCAGGCAGGCCTCATGGGGCCCGTAGCTTCTTTTGCTGTCTTTGTGGCCTCATCACAGGGGAGTCAGGATGGGAGAGTCTAGGCCTTTGCTGAGAATCCTGGCAGAAAGAGCACGTAGGAGTTAGGAGCAGGGCTGCTCTCCCCAATTGCCTGTCTGAACTGGTGTCAGCCCCTAGAGCCCTCCTGGAGCCCAGGCCTGTGTGAGGGTACTGGCTGCTGTTGGGTGCTTGGTTCTGGCTTTCCATCCAGTTTGGAGGAACTCTTGGACGTAAGCCCTAGTATCAGTCTTGCTTCTTTCCTTGACCTGTTGCCCTGTCCTCTTGCTCTGGGAGGCAGAGATAGGCTGCCTTCCTCAGTTCTCAGTGGAGCAGACAGTTTCCTGTACCACCAGCATGCATGGGCTTAGCTCTTCTCTATTTCCTCTACCTGAACCACAAGCTGGTCAAAAGCACTCTTACTACTAGTACCTAGCCTCAATACTCGAGTACTTCTAGTACCTTCTGGCTCTAGGTAGTCTTCCTTTCCTTGATCCCAGGAAAACTCCTTTAGCAAGAGCTCCAGTTCCTTCTTCCAGACAGACGGAGGCACTGCATGGAGATGTTAATACAGATTGGGGTCATTGTGTGAAAAAGAGAGGCCTGTTTTCTATTCCTGGCCAACCTGTGATCTGAGCAGATCACAGCAGGTCTTGGACCCCATGGCCCAGAAACCTTCTTCCCTATCCTTCATCTCTTCCTTATACCTCTCTCGCCTCCCTAAGCCATTTCCTAAGCTGCCATGGCCTACTGCCCGAAGCTTTGTCATCTTGTCATTGATGGTGCTACTCACAGTGCATGAGCAGTCTTCTCTTTGCCTCTTTGGAAAGTGCCCTGTTCTAAGCTTCTCATTTTGAATTTCCTAGTGGCAGAGAGCAGGTATGTGTGTTTTCAGGAGGCACTTCTATCCCTCTCTACAGGCAGTGTATGTAAGGAGAACTCAAAGGGGTCATGTCAGGCAGGCTTCGCCGGGAATTTGGAGGTTAGATCCTTGCCAGCTTGGCTGGATTCCTGGAGCAGATTCTCAAGCTGTTCTTTCATTTCTCTTGTGCCTATGAGTGGGGCTGCTTGCCTCTGGGAGGATGCAAAGACCAGAGCTGTACTGGCCTAGAGACAGTGGTTCGCAGGGGCCATCATGCTCCCATGTTCCCAGCCAGGGAATGGGCTGGGGTGGGCTGGTGTCCTGAGTGTCCATGTATGAGAATCAGGAGCAGAGAGGTGAGTGCTTGGGGCTGGCTCAAAACTGAGCTGTTGTCTCTGTTTCTCAGGGAACTGTACAGGCTGCTCTGCCACCTTCTCAGTGTTGAAGAAGAGGGTAAGTTTCAGGTGGTTTTCTGGGAGCTGTGTGCTTGTGATGGGTTCTGTGGGAGTTGAGGGGATTATTGAAGAAGTCTGACTGCTTGGGTCTCAGAGGCCTGGTGTCTGACGTTTGCTTTCACCAGCCTTCCTGTGCGGCGTTCAGTCAGTCCAGTCTCCCTTGTGCCTCACTGGGGCACTTCCCCAATCTGTCTCCTTGGGGAGGATTGTTGGTGAAGGGAAGTGCTTGAAGTTCCAGGTGCCTGAGAATGGCAGCTCCATCTGGCACTGACTTTGGTTCTTGTCTGCAGCGGAGCTGCAGTAACTGCGGGAACAGCTTTTGCTCTCGATGCTGCTCCTTCAAGGTGCCCAAGTCCTCCATGGGGGCCACAGGTGAGTGGTGCAGGGGTGGGTCAGGGTAGGGAGCTGATACTAGCTTTCTGCCCCTGAAGGGGAGGCCGCATTGTCGGAAAGGAGTGAAGACATCCTTGTCCAACATCTGTGGGAACATCTCATCCATCCCACTTAATCAAAACCTGGAGACATTTAATTCATGCGAAGAGTAGATATAATGAACCTGGGAATTGTGACACAAGGTAGCAGAATGAACACCTGTGACAGCTTCCATAGGAAACAACACGTAACAGTAGCACCCCTCTCAGGCTCCCCTCTACCTTTGGCAGAGACAGCCACCATGGTACCATTTCTAACTGAATAAAAACCATTTTCTTTTATGAAAACTGTACAAATGTGTTGTAAATGAAACATCCTCCTTTTTTCTCACTGTATGTGAATGCCTAGAGATCTGTATAACCTATCATGGCCCCATGTATCTCATGGACTTTTCTGCCCTAGCTGTAACCTCAATCCTCCTAATCTTATTCTCCAAATAGCTAGGATAACAGGTGCTGAAGTACCAGCACCTCTGACACACATTTTTGAAAAATGTGATGTTTTGCTTACTACCTTGTGGTATGTTAGTGTTAGACTAACTTCCCTCCCCCCCCCCCCCCCTTACTCATTAACTATAAAATTTAGAAAGTATACAGAAGAAGGAAGGGAAAAATAATCCTGTAATCTTACCACCCAGAGATAACCTCTGTTAAAACGTTTTAGGAAAATTTTCTCTGGTATTTTATTGTGAAGACATTTTTAAGTGTTTAGTTGGTGCCAAAAGATTTTTTAATGCTCAGAACACCTGGAGACGCCTAGTGTTGGCATCACTCGAGTTCCCAGATCCCCAGGAAGGAGGTGTGTCTGAGGCTAGCAGCAAGCTGGGTCAGGGAGGGTTTGGGCTGGGCGGTGGGTGGTCCGTCTGGGGCTTTGCGGGGGAGGTTCTAGTACTTGAAAGGGGACAAAGAAGTGTCTCACCAAGTTCTTCTTCCTTTCCAGCCCCTGAAGCCCAGAGAGAGACTGTGTTTGTGTGTGCCTCATGCAACCAGACCTTGAGCAAGTGACACAAGAGGCCAGGCTCCAAGAGGCAGCAGTCCTGGGGCCCCAGTAGATCCCCACTCTCTCCACCCCTGGCCCCTGTGGCGTGTGCTGGGCGAGTGTGGCCTGAGTGCTAGGTAGGATTCCCTGTCTGTCTCCTGCTGTCTCCAGCTTTGCTGGAGCAATGCTGTGCTCAAATCCCAGGGAGCCCTGGCTGTTTGCCCTGCCCTGTCCAGGGCCACATGGGTTCAGGGACAGCCAGGGAGTGTCCACTAGAGGGCAGCAGAGAGCTAGGACTGCTCTCAGCTAGGCTTCTATGGTCAGGGCTAGTCTGACTAGGCTTGGGGATTCCATGAGACCTGAAATTGGGGAAAGTTCTTTCCTGGGGGTATTGGGCTGGTCCCTCCACCTCAGGGAGCCTGTACAAGTGCTTGCAGCACTACACCCCAGCTCTGTGGTTTGAATGTTCTTCCTCCAGGTACCAGCATGTGACTAGTTTCCCATTAGTGTGGACAGGCCTAACAAGACCAGTAGCATTCTAGCAGGGCTGAAGTTTCCAGATTCCCTAGAGGAGTTGTGTTCAGGGGGCTGGTCCAGACCTTCAGTGTAAGGTGAGAACAGTATCACAAAGCCCCATAAGGCAGAGACCTTAGCTTATAAATCTCAGCTTACTTAATGCTGAGATGTCCTCAGCCCTGCTGGAGTGGCTGTAGGGTATTTGGATCACTCCTGTTCTCCTGCCCTGAGGCTGGGGCACCCTTTCCCTGGCCTAGCACCACATATCCCTTTCCCAGCCCTTGTCCCATGGAATGTGAGGCCTGGTGAGCCGAGCGGAGGTCCTGAAACCCTTGACTTTTGAGGTCTTGGAAAGTGTGGGATCTTGCTGAGCTGGGCCTTCGATTCCTAGGCCATTTGCTGGAGGGCAGGCTCAGTTATGGGATAGGGCCTCTTGGCCAGTTTTCTGTTCCCGTTGTTCTGTGGGGTCCATTATCTCAGCCTAAGCCCTTTAGCTGGCTCTGCCCTCTCTCCCCTGCCCCCAGCTGCCCTGCCTTTTCAATGTATTTATTTATTTATTTTATGGTTCCTGGGAACATGCAGCACAAGGCGCGGGGTGGGGAGGAAGAGGACTTCTCCTGCCTGGAACTCTCTTGTGCATCATGGCCTGCCTGGGGCCCACATCCACAGTGGCCCACATCCACAGTGGAGAGGGAGGGAAGGTTGGCAGACAGGGTCCCTCTCAGTCCAGCTTCCTGCCAAGCCACACATGAGGTGAAGTGCGGCCTGGCAACCAGGTGCCATTCTGTGGGGAGCCAGGCAGGCTTAGCATCCCCTTTGTCCTGGTGGGAGATGAGAGTTAAGTGCTCTGTGCTTGTTTACATTGGAGAACAGTGGAAAGGATCTGTGTATGTGGAGGATTGTCAATAAACGGCCTCAAGCTTCTGCTTTGTCCTGTTCTTGTCTCATGTTCTCCCTGGCCTGGAGGATCAGACCACTCTGCACTGCCTGAGCTTGCTGGCCTTGCTTGGCCTGCACCCCTGCTGGGGGTGGGGCTCTACGAACCCTGAGTGGCTGGGGTATGAGAACTGCTGCCTCAAACACACGAGGGGCACAGCACAGTCTGGATGTGGTGACTTGGGCTCTCCATCTTAGGATAAGATTGAGGACCCTGGGCTAGGGTTGGGGTGGGGATCAGAACTTTGTAAATGAGAAATAATGCATGCATTAGAATGGAAAGAGCCCAGCTAATCCCTGTGAGAAAGCTAAGAAGGGTCAGTGCTTGGAGGCTGAGAGCTGGCAGAAAAGAGACGGGCTGTGAGGTTAGAGGTCCAAGCAGTTCTGACAGCTGGGGTGGGCTCAGAGTTTGCTGGATGAAGGGCACTGTGCTCAGTGTCGCAGGTTACTCTACCGGATGCGGGCTGGAACCAGTTGCCCTGGTCTTTCTTCTTCCCCCCCATTTATAAAATGGGTTTAAGAGCAACATCGGCCTCTCGAGGCTGCTGTGCTGTGCTGCATGGAGCATGCGCCTGGCATGTGGTAAGTGCTCACAGGACAGACTGGATCCTCACAGCCTGTAAGGCTTATGACACTGATTTTTTTTTTTAAGCCAGAGAATGATTTTAGATTATTTTCAGAGAGAGTATCAGGGAGTGTAAACAGTGTCTATTGCTGGTGAACTATTAACAGATGGAGGCCAGGAAGGATGGTCATGGAACATGGCTCACTGATAGAAGAAATGCCGGTGTCCCCCCACCCTGGGTCAGTGTCCTTGAATGGTGAAGCCAAGGCCACCTTCTTGTCTCCTTGAGAGCAGGCAAGAGACATCTTTATTAAACTACAGTCTCCTGGGAAGACAAAGTCACAGAGGGATGGGACAGGATGGAGTACTTACAGCAGCTGGGGTCCACAGCGTCCAGAGGAGCTGGCTGGGGATGGCCTTGGAGACAGACTGGCCTCTGGAATTGAATGCCTGGTTTAAAAGACAGCTATCCATTTTCAGGTACGGGGGGGGGGGGGGGTACGGGGCAGTTGGGCAGCTGGGTTCTGCTACCTCCTTTGCATGTGCTAGTCAGGCCTGGGTCCCCAGCCCTAGCCTATTGGCCTTGGTTCTATTGATGTTTTATGGTGTGCTTATGTTGAGCACCTTCTAAGAGCTCTGCAGATCTTTTGGGGTCTTCAGGATGTGTGGCCCTTGGAGCAGAAGACAGATGAAGCTCTATCTTCATTGCTTTGTATCTGGTACCTTGGAGGCACTGTCTCAGGAGTCAGGCCCACTTCTGTCCCACAGTTGGTAGCCTTGGGATAAGGGAGGCACAAGCACAAGCCCTTGACTGAGTGTGCCCCACTGTCTCCACAGATTCAGTATTACCTGCTTCTGACAGGGAGTAAATAGAGGCATGGGGAGGTTAAGTGACCTGCCCCAGGCTGCAGAATTGGGGAGGCATGGGCTGGGATGTGAATTGTTGCCCATGTGTACCTAGAGGCCAGAAAGGCACTCTGCCTGGTGCACACTTGCTTAGGAGCTAGCCACTGAGCTAACAGGAGGCCCCTACGCTTCTACTCTCCAGCCCTAGTGAAACAGAGAGCGCCTTGTGGGCGCCCCCACCTTCCCCAGTGCCCAGCCACCCCACCTCTGGCCTGCAGCACCCAGAGCAGCACATTCCATTCTCTTGGCTCAGTTGGGGCTTAGGGATTCCGGGTTCCCTTGGCTGCCTTCCTTCTTTACAGCCCCAGCAGAGCCTGCTGTCTGGGCTGGGACCCAGTGTCCCAGCCACACACATTCCAGCAGCAGCCACCCCCCACATCGGCCTTCCCAAAGAGTGAACTGCAGCCAGGATTTCAGCCTACTAAACAGTAGTGGGATGTGAGCTTCCTTTGTGGAGGGCTGAGCCTGGATGCTGGCAGGGGTGAGAGGAGAGCAGTGTGTGGGGCCAGCCATCTTTGGGAATCTGGAGAGCCAATGGCTCTTCTGCATATCAGGGCTCTTGCAGTGTGATTGGACAGAGCCCCCAGGAATCTTCCTCAGAGCATGGGTACTTGAACTTCCTGTCCTTTTTATTTTTTTATTTTTTTTACCTCTTTTGACAGTAGTATAGAGGTTACAGAGCTTGAGGTCAAGTTCTAGCATCACCAGATTCACTATTACCCCTAACAGTACCTTAACCACATTGTGTTACCTTCATCAACCACTATCAGAGGGCTGTCAGGAGTTTTAAATTGGAATGTGAAAATGTTTTGAACAGTGTGAACTACCCTTCATAGCCTTGATAGTCTATCAATTACTAGTATCAAGTATCTCTATTTTTTTTTTTTTTTTTTTTGCCAGTCCTGGGGCTTGAACTCATAGTTAGGGTGCTGTCTCTGAGCTTTATTTGCTCAAGGATAGTGCTCTACCACTTGAACCACAGCCCCACTTCTGGCTTTTTGGTGGTTAATTGGAGGATTTTCCTGCCTAGGCTGGCTTGGAACCTTGATCCTCAGATCTCAGCCTCCAGAGTAGCTAAGATTATAGGTGTGAGCCACAGGTACCTGGCATTATTTTCTTTGTATCAGCTTTTTTTTTTTTTTTTGGTCAGTCGTGGGGCTTGAACTCTGGGCTTGGCTGCTGCTGTCCCTCAGCTCCTCACAGACTTTCCTGCCTGGGCTGGCTTTGAACCACGATCCTCAGATCTCAGCCTCCTGAGTAGCGAGGCGTGAGCCATGGCACCTGGCTTCTTAGTATCAGCTTTTATTGTCTGTCTGTCTGTCTGTCTGTCTGTCTCTCTCTCTCTCTCTCTCTCTGTGCATGTGTGGGAACTTGAACTGAAGGTATAGCAATTGTTAGGCAAGCACTCTACCATTTGGGCTGTGTCCCAGCTCTTTTCTTTTTGCCCCAGTCCTGGGGCTTGAACTCAAGGCCTGGGTACTGTCCCTCTACCACTTGAGGCACAGTGCCACTTCTAGTTTTTTCTGTTTATGTACTACTGAGGAATGGAACCCAGGGCTTCATGCATGCTAGACAAGCACTTTACCACTAAGCCCCATTCCCAGTCCAGCCATTTTGTTTTTGAGCTAGAGTCTTGTAAACTTTTTCTCTAGTTAGCCTCAAACTAGAGATCTTTCTGCACGCCCTTTCTGAGTAGCTGGGATTACAGGTATAATCCTACACCGATTCCAATGTTAGTTATCTACCACCTTGGGATGGATTCTATAATTCTAACTCATAGATAAAAGGTTCCTGCCTTTCTCCTGCTTTCCTGCCAGTCAGTCATGTTTCTTAGTTGATTAAGGACTCAGCAATTCTATGGAATACCTAGTCTGTAGGCACTGTTAAGTCACAATTTTTGGCTCATAAGAATACAAATGTATACTAGTGGACATCTACATGCTGTGCATTATTTCTAGATACGGCCATTGCATTGACATTTCACATTTGGCCACAATGGAAGTAAGCATTTCACTCTATTTTACAACTGGCAGTGGTCTCAGTGTCACACAGCTACTAAGTTGCAGGATTAGAGACCAGAGCCAGGTTACACCTCCTCTCACCCCAATCCTGGGATTTTCAGCCATCTACCTCAAATTCTTGTTTTATATTAAACTCTGGTTTCTGCCCTGCTGAAAAACTTGACTTCTCCTTGCAATAGGAGTGGCCATATTACTCAGTTCTAGCCAGAGAGCTGGAAGTGGAAATCTACCAGGTGGGCAGCCTGTTTCCCTGATCCAAAGCTTGAAGCAGCTGACATGAGGGTTGTGCTCCTTTCCCTTCGCTGTCTCATGGCTTGCAATGTGGCTGAGAAATGAGGAAGAAGCGGTAACCACAAGACTACCTCCCCAGAGCAGGAAGACAGGATTGTGGTATGTCAGCTTCTCACCTGTCCGCGTCTGGACTTGTGTGTGGTGAGGCCTCTCTCTCCTGTGTGGTCACAGACTGTCCCTCAGTGGTGCCCAGCGTCTAGGTACTCTTGGTGACTGTGGTTCTGTGTGGCTGGTAGGGAGGACAGCATGGCAGCACCACATGCAGGTACTGAAGTGAGGGAAGGGTGGAGTTCCAGTCTGGCAGGGCCTCTGGGAGGAGCTACCTCTTTGTCCCACAGAGGAGATTCTTGGGGGCCTGGCAGCAGAACTGAGGAGCAGCAGATGTAGAGCAGGCCCCTGGCCTCACGTGGGTGCTGCCTGATGAATTCACAGGGTATTTGAGGGAGACTTTCCCTCCCCTGCCTTTCTCCTGCCAGCACCTGACAGAGGTCAGCATTGTACTTCAGCCAAAAGCGGCCAAGGCCTGCATGCTTGATGGAAAAATAATCCTGGTTGACCATAGAAGTGTCCATAAATATTTGGTCAGGGCAGGAGGCTGAGAGACAAGGGGCAGATTCAAGGAGCAAGGCAATCTGGGCAGAGTTTGGGCAGCATGGGTGGTAGCGGCTTTGTTAGGGGAAGGAGAGACAAATAGGTCTTGCTGCCTCCCAGTGGCCTGAGCTAGGCCACCTGCCTGCCAGGGTGGTTTATGGGCAGGTTCAGTCCACCTGTTAGGGAGACTTTGGAGACTGCCCAGTTTCCAGCCTTTCTAGAGATACCATTTCCCCCTTTTCTTTCTTTTTATTGTGAAAATACTGTACAGAGGGGTTACAGTTACACGGGCAACGTAATAAGTACATTTCTTATCAAGCATTGTTGCCTCCTCCTTTGTTTCCCCTTTCCATCCCTTCCCATCTCCCCCCGAACCCCCGCTTTCTCCCCTTTTCTTTTTCCCCTTTTTTCTTCCCCTTCCTTCCTTCCTTCCTTCCTTCCTTCCTTCCTTCCTTCCTTCCTTCCTTCCTTCCTTCCTTCCTTTCTTTCTTTCTTTCTTTCGTTCTTTCTTTCGTTCTTTCTTTCTTTCGTTCTTTCTTTTGTTCTTTCTTTTAGGTCATGGGGCCTGAACTCTGGGCCTGGGCACTGTCCCTCAGCTCTTCAGCTCAAGGCTA